CTTGAAGAACAGTTGAGCCCCAGATCTAGAACTTTTTCTAGCTGTGCAAAAGAGGACGGGTGTCACGAAAGAGATGACGACACCGCCTCTGTAACTTCAGATAGGTCGGAAGAGGTATTTGATATGACGAAAGGAAACTTAACGCTGCTTGAGAAAGCGATTGCTTTAGAAACAGAAAGAGCAAAAGCCATGAGGGAAAAAATGGCAATGGAAGCTGGAAGGAGGGATAATATGAGATCCTATGAGGAGCAGTCTCCAAGACAGCTTTCTGGAGACGACAGGAAGTCTAAGTCCAGTGACGGCCATGTCAAAAAGCCATATTATGGTAAAGGTAATATTTCTCTCTAATGTATGTTGTATTATGATGAACTATGGGGTGAATCTTAACAAGCCATGCACCTGAATGTGTTTTTTTGCACTCAAAAAATAATTATAGAAGCACAAGTAGTTCAAAGTAATGCTCTGTGTCTTTAGGTAGAACATTACGTCATGCCAGGAGAAGCAAAGGGAATAAGAGATCATGTTAAAAGAGAGAAGGTTGTCCAGAAATGCTGAATATATTTTATGATTTTAAAACTAAAGGCAAATACATCTTGCATGAATTGACTTATACGTTAAGATTTTGTGCAAGACAGCCAATTAGCTGGGAAATGCATATTTTTATAGACTGGACTGTGTGGGGCATCTTGATTTATAAAATTATAACCAGATGGTGGTTATTGATGAACCCTCTCCCATATAAAATGTAGAGCTGCTTGATAGAAATTGAATAGTATCTGAGTGACCGATAACATGAGATAGGGGCAACGACTGCACATTAATTATCTTTAATAGTAAGGTAATGGAAATCATTTGCTATGCAAGGCATGCTTTGGCCTGGGCTGAGATCAATAGCAATTTCTTTCTTATATGCATTCCACTCCACTGGTTTCATGCCTTTGTGGAAATAGCTAAGGTGCTACCATAACAATTATCCAATATATAAGACCAAAAAAGACAAAACATAAACAGTTACCATAACCATGTATTATGTCTAGGTATATACAATGTAAATATCAACATGCTATTTTTATGAGTCTGCATTCTTGTAAAGTTTCCCAACAGCAGAATACTTTTCACTCCCATTAACTTTAATGGGAGTTGAGGAATCTGAATCATTGGAGGGAGGTGTGAATAACCTAGATGGTTATGGATGATGCTGTGATTTCCAGAGCATCACTTTATTAAATTGTTATTCTGTGTTTTTTAAAAATATTATGAACTTGGTAACAGGGCTGTAAAGTATAATCATGATATTAAAACATTATTTTCAATATATCTGCACAGGAGACTTTTTCTTTCCTTAAGCAAAGTTTGTAAGACAAATAAAAGACCCATATAACCCTCATAAGCTACATAAGTATGATGAAAGCATGAAGCTTTCTTGCAATCCAGTTTTGAGCCACTGTTGTATACCAACACCTGAGTTATTGACTGCGTTTGAGGCAGTTCGCCCAATACATTTTTCTGTACATGCAAACTACTGTGGGGCACACACTTGTATGAACAAGTGTAATGTATGGGCAATGAAATCATGGATGTGGCCAGCATCAATTTGTATGACTGGCAAACAGTTTCACCATGGTTGCCGCAATTATGGGAATCGCTTCTGGCATGCTATGCACATTATGCTTGTCCAGGCAAATTAATATCTCAAATTGGTCCGGAATGCTTATTTTTACGGACAAGGAAAAACACACTGTCCCATTACATGCTACAATAAAGTAATGCATATATACTTCAATATTTTAATCTGTTATTAAGGAAAAAAGACAGTCCGTTTTTTAAAAAGAAAATAAAGCACTGTACAAATCAGCAAATAGTTGAGACACCATTCAAGTAAAAATTACAAATGTGCTTATCTTACAGAATATAATATAATATTATAACATGCCCTTAACCAGACCCAATATCATTTAAAATTACCACCTCAGGGGAAAAAGAAGGTGCTTCTGTACCTCTGGGAGTTTGAACGTAAATATAAACAATGATGCTAACAGGAGTCACAAGTGATACCTGGATCTAAAGTTGAAAGTTTGGGCAATGTTAACCTCAGACTTGGGGTCCAGACTCAATTCTTTTCAAAGAGCAGGATAAAATAAATAACCATATACCTTCTTTGCTCTACTGTAAAAAAATTAAAAGTGAATGAATGAAGGCTATGTCCTTCTAACATCACTCATCATCAAGTACAGGTGATTCCCTCAACTGTGTCTCCTCTTGGGGGAGATGTGGGGTATACATCTCAGGGAATATACACACACTTTAATGTAGGGAAAAAGATGCATCAAAAGGAATGCCTAACAATTCTGTTTCTGCTGCTTTCCTATGGTGGGTTCCAAAAACATTACGAGAGGCAATCCTTTCTATAGATATATGCTTTTCCATGTTAGAAAGTATCCGGATGTCTTTGTGTCCCTAACCTCACCGTTGCAAAATTATATCTGATAATATTGCAGTCCTGACTGGACAATTGTATCAAGAGTTGGTAGAGAACAACAACTTTCCCTAAGGCGGTAGGGAAATATTTATGAGGCAGTCATGATGTTAAACTGAATTACCCAAGTGTCAGTATTAAGTTCTCCTTCAATATTTTCTTACACAGTACTAGATAAAGCTATTTCCATTCCTTGTTTGGACCAAATAACCATTTTGATAGTAAAGCTCCATAACAGTCACCTAGAAACAAAGGGAGCCTGCCCCACATTTCTGATTCACTCAGCCTAACTTGTTTCCAGCATTATACTTGAAATACACTACTCATTAGTAATACAGTTAAAACATTGTTTTTATGTGTTTCAAATTAAGATGTGAATACTGTATGGTTCAGCCCCATGGGTAGCAATAATTCAGTAATATTCATTGATCTTAGTGATGCCCCCCTCATTTATTCTCTAATTAACTAAGATGTGAAGATTTATACTCTTTTGGGTTAACTGTACCTTGTTGCACTTGATTATTGTCATATGAAATAGAAATAACCAAAATACTCTGAGAGATAGTCAACTAAATCATACTAAAAGTAGGCCCATTGAATTCAATGGGTCAGCTCTGAGTTTGACTGATATTGGATATCACCCAGTGCTCTTATTGGCTGGATTCTTTGGACCACAATATAACATATCAGAGTGCTTTATGTAAAGAGTTCCATAAAGCTTTATGTATGCAAATGAATGGTATGGCTGTCAAGAGGTAACATAACTTCAGAGACATAGAGAAAGACATTGATGAGTTCTATTCCCAGCTCCAATACTAATTTCTTTCTGTTTTCTTGGGCTGAATAATCTGCCACAGACATAGTCACCAATATGGGGCATTTTAGTATTTGTGTTGCTTTATAATTTTGTTTTATTTTTGGCAGGGGGTTATTAAATGAAAGGTTAAGAATGCATATATTGGTCTTCCTGCTGTCAGGAAGCCCTGTCAACCTAATTAAACTACAACCTTTGGATTTAAACCATTAAGGGTAGGCCTGCACAATTTATGACTTACCAAAGCAAATTCAGTCTCCCCAACCATGTTATGTAGCGTGCCAGATGTATGGCAGCCTTCCTGTCCTGTGTTTTGAAGTTTTTAGGCAAGCGGCAGAAGCAGGAGGATTATTGATACCCTGCTGGTGGGACTCCGTAGGTGACTGGCACGCTGCATTATAGAATCCTTGAATTGGAAGCGACCCTCCCTCCAAGTTCAGCTGGTCCAACCCTCTGCAATACCACATCTACCACAAGGTGTGGAAGCACATGAAACTGGCCACTTTAAGTTGCATGAGCACTGGCTCCCATCATGGCAGGCCAGTCATGGGAAACTGCTGCCGTGAGCAAAAGCAGACTGTTTGAAACACCAGTATAAAGCCTTCCTGGAGTGGCACGCTAAATTCCTGCATATGCTTCTCACTTTTATTCTGTGAGCTGGCAGAAAAATCAATGCTCAAATATATAGCAGAGGCCAAATAACCCAGAGTTTCCTGTGCATTGGCTTGAGTTGCGAATCAGTGTATAATATATCAGTAACAAGCACTAATTAGAAACCCCAGTCCTGGAATACAATCTCTTGCTTTAACCTGTGCTTTAAATACTAAAAGGCAAGCACCTTAATTTCTCCAAACTTTGAGCTGTCAAAAAATAATGTTTGATTTGAATCAAGACCTATGAGTTTTGAGACAGTTGAATAACAACATTCTGAAGGGAATTAATGTCCTTCATAATGCCAGGTTCAAACACACAGCACTGATGGATAAATGTTTAGGGTTTTTTTAAAAAAATGAAAACATTGCTTTAAAAGGATGAATTCTAAAATGGTTGAGTTTGGTTGACAGAATCTTATGAGCAATATTGGCTGCATTTGTTTGATACCGGATATGAATTATTCCTAGTACTGTATTTAAAACATTGCAACAGTATAAAAGGATGATCTTCTGATCTGGAGCTTCTGATCAGAATTCAAAGGGGTCCTTTCGCCCAACTATCCTGAATCATGTAAACTTTACTGTGTACTGCTGAACTCTGAAAGTGGCTTTGCACCTAACATTTTAGGTGAAAGACATGTTGGTTTTTTAAATATGTGAGTTCCAAAAAAAAAAAAAAAGTGAATTGTTGTATTAGTTATGGAGATAGGATTAGCTCTAGCTGCCTGTTTCTGTACACACGGCTTTACTGCCACACAAATTGGAAAAGGGTGCTGAGATGATAGCCCTGATATTTACACAATCATTTATTTTAGGATCATCCCCCTATCTTTTTAGGCATTGCCAATTCTCTTACAGCTGACTTTAGCCTCTGATTCACACAGGCATAACCAAGGAAGGTCACAGGCAATTTTCTTCTATGATTTGAAGTGGTGGAGACGGTTCTCCTCCTTCATACACGCTTACTATTTCTCCCTTTAATGGTTGTCAGAGAGGAAAGACAGAAAAAGAGTGAACAGGACCCCCTTTTGGGGCAGGGTCCAGCATCAGAAATGAAAGAGAGGTAGTTCAGTGGTACAGCATCTTTTTTTACACACAGAAGGTCCCAGGCTCAATCCCTGGTCTCTCCAGGTAGGACTGGAAATGTCCCTGGTCTGAGGTCCTGGAGAGATGCTGCCAGCCAGTGCAGACAGACTAGATGGACCAATGGCCTGGCTTCGTATAAGACAGCTTCCTGTGTCTTATGTCCAGTCTATGTCCAGTCCGTCTCCCTTTCCCTTTTGGTTGTATCTTCCACCCATCATCCCAGTACCTGCCTCTATAGGCTGAGACAAATGAAAACCAAATTGCTTTTCATGGCACTCAACAGCACAGGGCTGTTGCAGCACTGCAACAAGAACTTTAGGATTGCTACTGAAGCTAACCTATAACAGGAGGTGGAGAGAAGGGGATCTGAAAGAAGAAAACCAGTGGGGCAAGGAGGTTGAGGGTGAGAATGGCTATTTCAAGGAATTATGACACGCACATTACTCTTCTTACCTACCTCCCTCTCCTATCACTCTAGTTAGTATTGATGCTCTGCCAGATTCCTTAGAACAGGGAGAGCCAACATGGTGCCCTCAAGAAAGAGTTGGGTACCAACTCCCAACATCCCTAACCATGGGCTGTGCTGACTGACACTGATCAGGGTTAAAGTCCAACGACATTTAAAGAGCTACTTGCCCCTGCCCTAGAATATGGATACAAATCAGAAGTTGAAATTAGCTTGGGAGATAATTAGCCTAGGATAATGGATTGTGTAAATGGAAAGAGCAGGGGTATTTTAGTACAACCCCCCCCCATACATTCAGCAAAAGAATGCTATTGGGGGTTCCAGTTTTAATTCCAATTTCAGCAGTAATTCCACAACATTCTCTGCAAACACACACATAAGCGTAATAAGAAAAATAATTTTCATAGGTTATTACGAAAACAGCAAAATGTGATGCAACTCTTCATTATGAATGTTATGAATATCTAAGTGTTCTAAATATGTGGTGACTTTCACAGGACAATTTAAAAGCAAGTTAACTTTAAAAAAAAAAAAAACTTGTAGTTAATGTTCAGTGGAAAGAAACATCCTTTTCTGTAAGTTCTTATATTCTGTAGCAAACTTTTGAGAAACAGTGTTGCCTGTTTTAGCATGCCATTGAAAAAGAATTAATTTGCATTGCATCTTTGAAGAATTTTGGCAAGGAGCTGGGTCCACTATCATCAGTACTCTGAATTTCTCCCGCATAAGATCTCTAGACTTCAATATATATGAGGAAAATAGTTTTTAAAACAAATTCAAAACAGAGCCAACTTATAGCTAATGCTTGACAGAAGTTATGTTGACAGTGGTGGTGGCTTTGCTGGAAGAAAGTCACCACAATTTAGCCTCCATGAATGGAGGACAGCTGTGACCATAGGAGCCTACGGTACAGAAGAAGGAAGCAGGAGATAAAAATGTTTTCAGTCGTAGATGTGTTTTCTTCCAGTGTTCTTTGAGAACATTTTCCAAAGAGTAACTGAATTCATTAAGTGAACCTTCGTCCATTTGGAAATCTGAAAAGGGAAAACATCATTCACTTGACACATTTGTTGTAAATTATAGATCCCTCAAGAACAGAAAAGAAAGAAAGCAAATGTCCTACCCCTGGGTGTGATGGAACTGGCCATGTAACGGGGCTTTACCCCCATCACCGCAGTTTGTCAGGATGCCCACACAAAGATAGGGTCCCTCCAGAAAGTAAGTCCACATTGTTTCATGGAAACTGGGGATAAAACTCCACACAAATTTTTCTAGCATGCATTAAGAAACTTTTTTTCCCTTCTCTTTTTTTCTCTGTCCCATTTTTCCAGTATGATATGTCTCAATTTAGCAAACTGTTTTCTGTTATATTTGCATTTTTTTCTTTATTTCATCATGTTCACATCTATACTAACCTTTATGCTTGAAGAAAGATGTTTTAAAGCTGTATTCTTTTTATTCTGATAGTATTAGGATATTCGCAAACTGTTGTTTTTCTCTATGCCACAGGTATTCCCCCCCCCCCGGCCAGGAAAAAACAAAACAGTACTGCTTTTAATTCTGAGTAATTATAGCCATCTTTTGAATAGAGTCTCTCATGTTCATATAAAGGAGCCGATGTTCCTTCCACTTTGAGAATAGGCAATTGGATTCATTTTTAAATTTTTATATATATACATAATTATTCAAGCAATTAATTCAAATATTTGACCTTTAGAATTGTGGTTGACTTGCAATAATACAGCTCTGCATGAATGTTAGTACAAAAATGCTGCAATTGTATAAGAGGTATGAAGGGAGAAGGAATATGTAAAAAAACAAAAACAGGTGCCATAATTGTCTGAGATTGTCAGAACTCATCCACCCACCTGCTAAGAAGAATACTGTATACTAAACTGATTCTCAGATTTTGTGGGAGGCTTCAAACATTACAAAAACAAGGCTTCTAATCATAGAATCATAGAATCAAGGAGTTGGAAAGGGACCCTGAGGATCACCCAGGCCAACCTCATGCAATGCAGGAATAAGCAGCTGTCCCAGAGATCAAACCTGCAACCGGGTGTTGCGTGTCAAGGTCCCCAAGCTACCCCAATAAAACACAATTCACACGGAATTTTTGTTTAAGGTTTTTGGCATAATTTTGGCCACAACTTTATTAAAATACAAAAAATGTGAGTGGTTGCTTAGGCATTGGTTGCGACTATCTGATCCCGCACGGGGACAGACTGACATCTGCATGCCCACGAAAGTCAGAAAGGGAAAACATTTTGGGGAGAGCGATGGAGTTGGGTACCATGCCCTTACCTCTCCCCAAATACTCCCAGGGGCTCTTGTGTGGCCCTAGCCCCTTGACAGGGGTTCGGACAAAAGCATGGCGAGCCCCTGGGTTCCTTTAACGGAATTCCCTTGCAGCAGCAGCATTGGAGGGGCAGGCGCCACCAATCCTTACCCCTCCACCAACCAGTTCATAAAACCAATGCCTAACCACAACCTTATAAGTTGTGACGATTTGCTACGCAGTAGGCAAAAACCAAATGGCACCAGCCAATCAGCCAAACGGACAAAATTCCTACCAGGCCCCTGCCCCAAAAGCAGATGACCCCATGACAGGCATAGCAAGGTCAAAGCGAACAACCCTAAATATAGGGAGGGCAGGCAGGTAATCCGATGCACGCAGCGAAAAGAGGAAGCTCAACGTTGCGCACAGGGAATATAAAAATTCTTGGCTGTCAATCAAAAAATGGCAACATCAAATTCTCCCCAATGACAAGAGGAACCCAGTTGCAATGGTGGCCAACTACCTTTACCCGCCCAGCAACAGTGGGATGTCTTGTAAGACCCCACCGTAACATGTGCTCTCCATGAAGGAGAACACGCTTTATCAGCACCACACTTGTCAGCACTCTGCTCTTACTAACTGAGCTATCCAGTCTTTGCAAGATGGTGGCTTTCTAAAAGCTGGGCTACATGTAGATTTGATTCACTGCTTCCCAAACAGCTTAGTTGTCGAACAAATTGGCTCCCGAATGCCGCAAACCCGGAAGTGAGTGTTCCAGTTTGCAAACATTTTTCAGAAGCCGGACGTCCGACGTGGCTTCCACGGCTTCTGATTGAGTGCATGAAGCTCCTGCAGCCAATCGGAAGCCACGCCTTGGTTTTCGAACAGTTTCAAGAGTCGAACGAACTCCCGGAATGGATTAAGTTCAAGAGCCAAGGTACCACTGTATTTGATTTAGTATCTACACCCCACTTTTCCATTAAAACAATAGTGGAAATGGCTTGAAATGAAAAACAACAATAATAAATACAAAACACCAGAAAAACATATATAATATAGTAGCGAGGTCAAGAATTCCCACTAGAATTAAGGGACCTTAGTCATGTTCATTAATTTCAGTAGGTCTCCTCTGTTTAGAACTTAGTCAAATTCCACACAGTGTGAAACTGTCTCAATTCTCCTTAAGGATCACCCCATCGGGTTAGGGTGAGGACAGTCATTTTCCACAAAGCAGCTCTTCATATATCTGCCACTGAAAACAATATCGCTATGAGAGTGCTTCTGCATGTTGCCATTATATTGAAAAGTAATTACCATGTGATGTAGTGTCATCACATATATTAAGTGAAAAAAGTATTTTTCATTCATGACAATGAAGATTTGGAAAGAGAAGCTGCAAGAAACTTTTGAGTCTTGAAAGCACTTAACTCAGTCTGGAGTTAAAAGTGGTATGAGGGCATCAGTGGCAGAGTATTGTCCATTTCATAGTCTCCCTTAAACCTCGCAGAAAGGGAAATCCCTCTTAAGGAAGCAACACTGCTTCTCAGCTGGTGTGTGAATTGAGCTGATCAAAGGAATTCAATTTCCAGTTTAGCAAGGCCTATAATTTTCTCAAACACAAATGTTTACTCAGTTCCTCAAAGCGGTTCATCTCCTCCCCCCCACCAACGTAAATGGTAAACATAAAGCATTTAGAAAATGTTACCAATCAAAGAAGAATATAGCTTTAAACGGTTTGCATGTTCAGTAGTGACAAAAGTGAAAAAGGTGAGATCATCTCTCTCTTTCTATCTATCTCTCTTTTTTTTCTCCTTCTTACCCTACTCCTGCAGTGCTGGGCTTGTAAAGCATGTTTCAAGAACAGCTTTGAATAGCAGGAAATCCAAAGTGAAGCTTTCACATCTTTAGTACACTGCTAGTAGTGTGGTGATGGTGATGAATGATGGTGGTTGTGACTATTCTTTAAATCAATTATGCACAGGCTTTATTCCTTATGTCCTCTAGGCTTTTGTGTAAGCATTACACATGATTTTTTTTAAAGATTGGTTCCTTTGAAATGTAGCATAATTTTGCACTAGTCGTCCAGCAACAGTGACACAGATGTGAGCATTTTTCATGTTGTACACATGCACACCAATTGGATGCAGCTCAATTTATTTTTAAACGTTAAAAAAAAAGTGAATGTTTGGCACATAATGGTTTTCAAGTTCAAGTAAATTATAAGTACTGTCCTATTGTATTGAATCCAGAGACTTTGAGATCTGTAGGATGGGATCCCTGATATTTCAAATCCCACACTG